CTATTATAAAATTATAAAATAAGGCGTGGGGCAAAAAAATAAAAAAAACAGAAAAATCTGAATTATTTCCTATGAGTATGTGAATAAATTAGAGAACGATGTTATTATATTTAATGAGGGTAACGGCTCATTAGAGATTAAAGAGAAAGTTTAAAGTAAACAAAAATATATTAACTATACTGCTAAAAGGAGTGATACTCAAGTGGTTAAGAGGGTTTCCTGCTAAGAAACTAGGTTGGCCTAATAGTCAGCGCGAGGGTTCGAATCCCTCTCACTCCGCCATTAAATATATATAAAATAAAAATTATGTTGAAAAATGATAAAAGTGAAAGTTAATGAAAAAAAACATAAGTTAATTAAATAATTTATGGGTTCTTATTTATCCCACTAACCTTAATATCCATGGTAGCAAGGAAAGTAAAAAATGACTGTTTTTTTTTTGCTAAGAGAGCGCTCCTTAGTGCTTTTTCTCTCCAGAAAAAAGAGACAAAAAAAGTATTCTAATTGGATTTCTTATTAATTGCCACTGATTAGAATACTATTAAAAAAAGCAATTAGTTCAGTTAGTCAAAACTGATAAAATAATCTGACAAATATAGCAAAGAATTCATAAACATTATGGCAGACACAACAAAAGGTCAAGCCAGTCCGAATGTCCATTTTTTCCACATAACTCCTCCTGGTGCCCGTAATAGCAAATGCCGAGTTAAAGAAGTGAGGGGAAAAAGATACCCGAACCTTTGATAGTTGGGAAGAAGCATTGAACGAAGCCAAAAGACGATTAAGGGAAGTAGAAGCAGGACACATTGTGGTTCACGATTACTCGAGAATTTCTGTTGCCGACTGCGGTCGAGAAAGACAAAATTAAGGCCCGTTATGAGAATGGAGTATTAATTATAAATGTTCCTAAATCCTTAAAAAGTAAAGCCCATCAGGTTAATATTGAGTAAAATAATACATTATGGCAGTTCCCGCTCGAAGAAAATCCTCCACTAGAATTAAAAAAGGTCGTGGACCAAAGAGTTGAAGTTTTCACCAAAAGGCTCTCAACCAGCCCTTAATCAAATGTGCTAGTTGTCAGAAAACGAAAATACTTCATCATATTTGTCCACATTGCTCTACATATCAAACTAATTCCCAATCAAAGTAAAATATAATATAATGATGAGCATTTAAACTGATGATGAAACAAAAAACAACTAAAAATACACAATAACTATATATATATATATATATGACACAAGAAAAAATTACATTCACTATAAAAAGTATAAATCAAAGCAATAATCTAATCAAAATCGAAATTGATGAGGTAGATTTTCCGACTGGTAATGGTGATGAAAAGGCCAAAATTACAGAAATATTGTTTTCTGGACAAGAAAAAGATAAATTAAAAGACACTTTCCAAGACAGAAAAACTTATCAAATGACTTTTGATAGTTCCAAGGTGGAAGATGACCGACATCCGACCATGATTCAGAATACTGCTAGTGCAGGCGGATTTTCTGCAAGTAAAGCACCAGACAAATTACCTAATAAATTAGTTTTGGAAACGGATAAATTAAGAATAGTTTACAATAGCCATAATGATACTATTAAAGTTAGCGAACAAGGAAGCGCTAACACAGGTTCTTGGAATTCAACAGCTTCTTCGGGTGATGGATCTAATGTTAAAAAAGAATCAAGCGAAGGGACGGAGAATGAACCACAATCAACAAGCAATACATCCAATACTAATCAAGCCGATAGTGGAAATAGTGGCGGAAATTCTGAAGAAGATCAAAATACTTTTTCTAACAATACTGATACTTCTGACTCTGACCAAAATACCAATAAGACTCCTCCGCCACAACCGGCTCCCAGCCAACCAACTCAAGAGGAAATTAATAATTCCAGTGAAAAATTGAAACAAGCTACTCAAAATGGTAATAAAGATGAATTATCCGAATCTATAAAGAAAAATCAGGAATTAGAAGACAAAGGCGCTTCGAAATCACCCGAAAACGAACAAGCCGAGAAAGCCGCTCGGGAAAAGTTAGCCCAACAAGATAAAAAAAAATATTGCCAAACAATTTTCGAAGCAACCGAAAATAAATTGAAAAATAATGGTATTAATGTTGATCAATTAGACGCGGAGTCAAAATCCGAATTTGAGAAATTAAAGAATAAGGAAATCACTGAAAAATCCAAAGTTGACGAAGCCGAAAAGAAAATAGTTAAAAATGTCTATGAGAAAGCCGCTGCTAAAAAACTGACTAACTTGGAAAATAAAGCTAACGAAGCCATAAAAAACAAGAACGAACAAAAAATGAAAGAAGTAAAGCAAGAGTTAACTCAACTTATCAACAATTCTAATTATCAATCAAAAAAAACCGCGGCCGAAGCGTTACAGAAAAAATTAGAGGCGGCTCTGAAACAAAACACATCAACGGATAAAAATGATGATATTCCGTGAAAAATAGTTGTTCCAGTTGCTCTGGTAGTAGTTGCTTTTTTAGTTGGATTGGTCATTTACGCCCGCAAAAGAAGAATAAATAATAATTAAAGGGGTTCAGAGGGAAGTTTTTTTTTAGATAATGGAGACAGGATGACCTTCCTTCCTGGAATTTTTATTACATGCCGACCAAAGTCCTCTATAAGCAAGACATAAAAAATAATTTCGAATATATTATCATTAAAGGCCACGCCAATTACGCGGAAAAAGGTCAAGATATCGTCTGTGCAGCAATTTCGGCCATTACTAACGGAACAATTAATTTTCTCAACCTTCATTATAAAAACGATTGTCAAATTTCTTATCAGCCAGCCGAAATAAACATTTATCCCCGAACTGACGACAACTCCGAATGTCAATTATGTTTACGGTTAATGTTCTATCAATTAGAAAATATTGCTAATTCTTACCCAAATTATTTAAAAATAATTAAGGAGTAATTACAATGTTTCATTTCGACTTATCAACATGGGTGCAAAATAATTTTTGACGAATTTTTTCGTTTAAAGTTTTTCTCTGTTTTTTGTTATTATGTTGGGTAATTAAGAAAGAAGGAAAGAAAATTTATTACTCACTCACCAAAGAAAAATTAAAAATATTTTGGCAGGTAATTACCTTGTTTTTCTTTTTAGCCATTATCCATTTTGTTTTAAAATACTTTTTTCCTCACAAGGCAGACAAAATAAAAGAATTAATTTTTGTTATCGAGGCTAATAAAAACAGTCTCTGACGCTTATCTCGAATTTTTTTTGGACTTTGTATTTTGGCTCCGATTATTGAAGAATGTATTTATCGCTACTTCGTTTTTAAAGTTTTTGGCAAGGAAAAATTAATATCTTACTTTATTTCTTTTTTTGCTTTTATTTTCACTCATTATTGTTGACGAGGAGAAAACATCGGAGTATTATTCCTGCAATATTCGGTAGCTAGTTTTGGACTAATTTATATTTACAAAAAAAGTAATTGAAATCTACTTGCACCGATCTTGCTTCATTCACTAATTAATCTTTTATTTATTGGAATAACAATCATTAGTCCCAATTGTTCTCTAATTTAAAATGTATTAAAAGGCAGCGTAGCTCAGTTGGTTAGAGCAAACGACTCATATTCGTTAGGTCGGAGGTTCAAGTCCTCTCGCTGCTACCAATTTAAGAATTGTATTAATATCGTAATATATAAAATGAAGTATATGATATTAATTAATTTAAGCAAGTCAATTCTCCTCACATTTTTTTTCTTCCGCCACCAGGTAGCAGAAAATAACTGGCCTTCTTTGCCGGTGGCAATAGATAATCAGTCAGTTATTTCACCGGAGACTGACTATCACTATTTAGTCAAAGAATATGGGAAAGAAGTAGCCCAAAAACAAGCTACCCATTTACGGTGAGTAGACTTTGACAGAGAGCGAAGACAGACACAAAAATGATGTAAGAAGTTTTTAGGAGAAAAGCCGCAAAAATGTAAAGTTATTATTTATCCAGGCAAATTCCGGGTTGATAGTAGTCGGGAGTTAGCAACCATTGAATATACAATTTATCGACAAAATTATACCAACAATAGTGATAAATTCAAGGAAATTAATTTTGTAAAGGATATTATTTACGTTAATAATTCCACTCTGTTTACCACCCGAGGGTTTCGTTGGGGAAATAATTTAAATGCCAGCGGCAAAGTGCTGCTGACTAAGACGGGAGCAGAGATTAATTTTCATGCGGATTGGAATACTTCTACCATTCAACCTCAAAAATACAGAGAAGATAAAAAAATAGCCTGGGTGGAAAAGTTTTCTTTATCTCCTCATAGCCAAACCGAAATTATTTTGACAATGAAAGAAATTAATTACGAATCTGACCTCAGTGGGGATATCATTATTGAAGGTCATTTTGTTTATAATTTTAGGAAAAAAATCCGAATTTCACCAAGCGATAGACACCGCTCTGCTTATTGAATTGTAAATGCCCCTGGACTTATTCAAATGGTGAGACAACATGGCTCCTCCCCCTTAAAATGATTAACAGAAGGATACTCCTTAGTTTGAAAAGATAATAATAATAAAACGGCAGCCACTAAGTTTCGAGTTAGAGGCAAATTACAGGGAGCTTATGGTTATCAATTAAGTAGCAATATAACGAGCAAACCATTAAATAACTTTGACCCAACGCCTACTCCCATTATAACTGCAACGGCTACGGCAACTGTCACCGCCATTCCTGATAATGGTGATAATTACAACTATTTAACTTATCTGGTATATTACCCTATCGGAGCAGGGACAATGGCTGCAACTGTTTATTGAGGAAAAATTTGTTATCATCGTCAAAATTATAATCAAATCTGAGGCTAAGTTAATCCCAAAAATAATTGTTAAATTTGCTTAGTAAACAAGTCAAATAATGCTTGGATTTTTTGCTCACATAATAAACAAATTACAATATAAGTGATATAAAATGAAAATGTACAAAATATAAAATTATGG